GCTTCCCTCACCCTCCCCACATCCGGCTGCAAATCCTCATCCCTCCACCCCCACCTCCAAAACACCCCATCCGCTCCGGATTCGGTGGCAGGGAACTCGCTGGTATCCGTGCATAACCCCGCCACACCTCGACAAACAACCGCATTAACCTCCTCCGCCCTCCTCGCCTCCTCCAACTTCCGCGTATACCCCAACACATACCCGACCCTCTTATGTTTGTACGTCAACCGCGAGTACGATTTCTCCATCGCGCGGATGTCGGAGAGCGCGAGGGTGCGGTAGGCATTGTACGAGGCTAGTGCGCGGGGGAGGGAGAAGTATGCTGGAATTGATGAACTTGGGCTTGGGCTCGGGGCGCCGAAGATGATGGCACGGAGGGAGGAGGGAGTGAGGAGGCCCGGAGAGAGGTCGAGGATGCGGTAGGTGAGGTAGAGGATGGTGAGCGGGATGAGGATGGCGAGGGCTTGGGTCAGAGTCAGACCACTAGGTTCTGTCATGGAGGGACGAAACCAAACTTCTGCGTTGGAGAACCATCGCAGTTATGAGTTTGCTGCTTGTCGTCACACGAGTTGTTGACCGTGTCTAATGATCACACGCACGAGCAAAAAGAATGAGAGGGAGGCAGAGGGAGAGATTACATTGGATGTTGGATATGCCGAGCACGTATGAGAGGGAGTAGTACTGAACCTCGAGATGATGAGGTTATAATACACAGCAGATTAGGTATCGGGATGGGGGAGGGATGGATGACGGAGAGAACAACTACGACCTATCGTTATACCTTCCAAGCAAGCAGGCAGCATTAAAAATATACTCTTTTTGAGCCACGCACACACCCTCGAAGGACGAAACGAAAGAGGGGGAACAACGAAAAAAAGCGATCACGAAACAAGATTCGAGTCGGTTGTGGGTGGGTGTGCGTGGTGAGGAGGGGGGTGTCGCAGCAGATCAACGAACCAAATGCCAAAGGCAAGGGGTGGGACGAACACGAACCACAAATGAGTGACGTTGAAGAGCAGCAGCAAACGCTCAACAAGAATTGTATTTCAGCAAGAAGCAGGAGAGGTGAGGGGGGATGGGGGGTTAGGGGGGTGAAGTTCTTTAGGATAACACGGGGAGGATTTCAAAGGTGAAGAATGAAGAAACGAAGAATCAAAAAAAGAAAGGAACAGAGTACGGTGTAGGCATAAGTGAGGGGGGAAAGGCAAGTTGATAAACACGTTCAACAACACAACCAAGAGCCCGAGAAAGTCCGCAACATGGCAATGGTAGGTATATCGCACAAACAGCAACGCCACGCAAACAAGGAGTGAAGGGAATGATGAACCGGTGTGGGGAAGCTGGTGGCGTCGGGGAACGGAAAAATGGAAAGAAACAACCAACCATGCACACAATATCCTATTCTTGACAGTTTCTCCTTTGTATCCATCCACAAGCACGGGGGCAAGAGCAAGGGGGGAGGTGGGGGGAAGCGAGTGGGACGAGCGAGACGACGTTTTCGGAGAGCAATGTGTCGACGGGGGACGATAATGCGTTTGCGGGAGGAGCACGGGCCAAGAGCGACGACACTAGAGGCAGAGCAGAGTACAGTATGGGATAGAGAGCGTTGGAGAGAGAGACAGATAGAGGAAGGAAGCATAGCACGGGGAGATGTGTGTTGTCACATACCTCTCGAAGAACGAGAAGTATGAGTCGGGGTATCCTGACGTTTTCCTTTCCCAGGAAGACGTCTTTATCTTGATAATAATCCACCAGAAGGGGGTCCGCATGCGCGCACGGAAGTGACGCGTTGCTTAGATATCGACCCGACCCTCATCTCCGACATCCTCCTTAATGTCCGACTCGCCCAAAACAATTCCGTCGCTCTCGATTCCAAGTCCGTCGAGACCTTCTCCGTCGATTGCGCTCAGAGGCCCAGCTGAGTTGGGCCCGTTCCCGCTTGCAGAACGGCGCATCCCCGAGCTCCCCTGGGGGCCCGACCTCGGTGGGTTGGCGCACCGGTCCTTACCGTGCGCGATGCGCAGGTTCGTGTAGTCGGGCTTGTTCTTGATGCCCTCAATCGCCTTAATCGCGTTTGAGATGTTCGTGAAGTTCACGAAGGCACAGTTCCTGAAGGTTGACATGATACGTCAGCAATATGGTCACATAGCGACAAATAACGACGCAGTAACGCCGATTGGGAAGATTAATAATGCAAAATGATCGACACTCACTTCTCTTTCAAGAAATTAACCAATTCAATCTCTCCAAACTCTCCAAAGTCGCGTTTCAACTTCTCGTCACTGAACGTCTCAAAGTCCTCAATGTTGCCAACGTATACGTTCCTTGTCGCGCCAGAGTGTACGGACAAGGCAAGCGCAGGAGGCAAAGGACCAGAGTTCTTGCCCCAGCCAATCTTGAGACGGCGGTTGTTCAAAGTCAGGCCTTGATAAGACGCGACTTGGAAGAACGTGAGAGCCGCAGCGGGATCAATGAAAGTGACGAACTATGAAGAAGCAGATCGTGAGTTAGCATCAAACACAAAAAACAATGAAACGTTACGCACGGCGATATGCTTGTCCTGCATGTATCTCAAACTCTGTAGAACACCACCCCTAATTGCGTTACACAAGTCCTCCGTGGTGGTCTCTGGGTGGATGTTACCCAGATATACTGTCCTGTTCAATCCCTGAACACCACCGCCCATAACAGGGCTCATGCCGCCCATACCGTTCAAGCTGTTGAGCGAATCTGAGAACGGCATGGCGTAAGGCGTGATCGGGGACACGGCCGAACCAATGTTGTTCTGAATGGGAGACAGCGCGGCAGCAGATTGCGCAACGAGCGATTGCGCGGCAGCAGCCTGAGCAGCCTGGGCAGCGGCTTGCTGGGACTTGGGGATGTATGCGCAGCGATCCTTGCCATAGTTGACACGCTTTCCGGCCCAAGCGGGCTCCGTGGGGAGCGTGTTCACAACCTACGGACGATTTTTGAGTTGATGACCAATGAGAGCATGGAATAGCGCGTACCTTGGTGGCAGTAGAGATGCTCAAGAAATGGACGAACCCAATGTTCTTATCCCTGACAATCTTGACCTGATCGATGAGACCAAAGCGGTTCAAGTCGTCCCTCAGTTGCTCTTCCGTTACGTTTTCGTCCAAACCGCCGAGATAGACGTTTCTGCTGGCATTGCTCTGCTGAATAGCCAATGCTACCTGGCTTGGTACGGGGCTAGGCTTCCCCCAACCGATCTTCAACTCCTGTCCGTGCAGCGAGAGCTTCTTAATAAGCGCATCGGCGTGGAAGGCGGCGGCAGTGGCACCGTCAAGGAACGAAAGGAAAACACACGACTTCTCGGGAAGAACACGAATGGATTCCAGAGGACCGAAATGGACGAGGTTAAGGAGTTCGTCAACGGATGCAGTTGCGGGGAGGTTGCCGACATAGACGGTACGGCCAGTAGCGTTGTTTTGTGCGTTCATAACTGCACTGAGAGCTGCCGGGGAGTACGGTCCTTGCGCGGGAGAAGGGATCTGCAGGGAGGGCAAGCGTTGCTGCATAATTGCGTGTGAATTTGGAGGTTCAGAACGAAGAACGAGTGTACGCACCTGGTTGAAGTTACCCATCTGCCCGTTGTAAGGGAACGAGCTCAGAACGTTCATCCCAGGAATGCCCATTCCAAGCATATTATAACCTCCGAATCCACCGTATCCCATGTTGCCATTGCCGTTGGCAGAGGGCTGCTGGTTCTGAGGTGTATACGGGCCAGCAGTGTTGGGGCTCATCTGGGACTGGATTCCATTGTTCGACGTGTTGGTGTTAATGCTGAGGGAGGGGGTGGAGTAAAGCGCGTTCCCGGCACCGAAGTTGCCTCCCTGCTGACCGTTGGCAAAAGCGTTAGCGTTTTGCTGAGCAAGGTTGGCCTGAGGGCCGTATCCGTAATTCGCGAATGCGTCACGATTGCCATTTGAATTATTGGGAAGGCCGTTTCCAGCGAAAGAATTAGGCGACCAGCGAGCCTTTTTGGCATCAGGACCACCGACGGTATCCATAGACCTCTGAAGTAAAGGGGCAGAAAGGAGCAAGAGATGAGACACCGTCACAACGGAGGAAATGAATCGCTGAGCGGTGTCAGAGCAGCAAAGGGGGGGTAAAAAAAAATCAAGATCTCCCGCAATAACGGTGCCAGCAAATAAGCATAAAAACCGCTTTCGGGTGAGTGGATATTCCCTGATCGCTAGGTCTGTCTGAAGAGACTAACGGACGATTTCGCGTCTTGTGTTTGCAAGCACGAGCAGACACGTAATGGTGACAATATTGTAAAAATGGGGGATGGAGACGCATATTGTGTGACACGCGACTTGTGGGGGGAAGAAAGCCCCATTCGCTGCTCTGACAACACCGGGCGAGGAGAAGGGGGCGAGAGAACATACCTTCATCATGTCGAGGTCAATGCCGTACTGTTGATACTGATTGGCGAAAGCTGCTTGGGAGTCGTCCATGGATACGGGGAATTGGGTTGGCGCGGTTGGCAAGGTGATGGAGATTGGATAGCGCGAAAGGAGAGTGTATGAAGTGAAGGAGAGAAGGACAAGTTAGAGAACGAACGTGAGAGGGCGGCGGGGGGAGGGGGAGGACAAAGGAGTGTGGGTGAGTTGGCTGCGAAAAAAAGGGACGCACAGAGAAGAGAGGAGGAGGTGTACTGAGAAGTACGAGATTTATAGATAGGGAGATTATTTAAAAGAAAATAATCGGTTGAATTGGGAGCAGCGTTGTGGGAAGGAGAAAGGAGGGAGTACTGCTGCCAGTGGCGGGGGACGGGCCAAGCTGGGAGGAGGCTGGAAGAAAGGAGGAGGAGGACGAGAGGGACGATGATGGGACAAAACAATCACCGGCGCTCATTTCCACTCCCGCTAATCCTCCCATCAGCACAAGACCGACTCTGCTCTCCCACGCTCACCGACGCACGGACCCAACATCCCGCCTCTCGTCCTACCGCAGCTCCTGCCCTCCCTGCCATCGGTGCTATAGTGTAGTGGTTATCACTCGGGATTTTGACTTCCCAGGGTCACCTGATCACCTTCCCGAAACCCAGGTTCGAACCCTGGTAGCACCTCGCTTTTTGTCCTAAAGGGGGGGCTGTCACTCATAGAATATGGTATCATACGTTAAAGTACACTACTTCAAGCTGACACTGAGACCAGACGCCACCGGAACCCCCACTGTGGACCACATCACTTGTGTCCAAAGATATACCCACGTCACGACAATCATATCCACCATATGCATGCCTTCCTCCGTGATCTCCAGATTGTCCCTCAGCGTATTCTTGACCGAGAGCTTCGCTGACTGACGGAAGCGGGCGACAACTGTTTCCTTGGTCTCTCCGGACTTCTTGACAGTCAACTGGAAATTATCACCTGTGAATGTGGGTAGGAATTTCAATTCGTAGGATCGCCTACCGTCTCCCAATTGTGCCAGACGTAGAGCAGTCCGTCTGGTCCGGTGAAAGATCTGTCTCTAACAGAAAGAAAACTAGTCGTCAACACCACGATAACGCAGAATGAAAGCCAGGGTACTGACTTCCACAAAAATCCTTGATGGTGCAAAAGATCGCTTGCTTTTGTTACCTTTCCCTGGAATTCAATCATCGTGCTGCCCAGACTTTTCCACCGGATTTGTCCAATCTCCTCGATGCCGTCCCCATCGTATTCGGTCCCGTCCTTGATGTCTAGCACATTCCCCGAACGAAATCTGTACGTCGGGTCATGCGCAATCGAAGGGGAAATGGTGGAGACTACGGTGGTGCCGTCCTTGAAGGCATACGGGGTGTAGATGTGGTACATCGGTGTTAAATCGGTGTCGTCTGAACCGGGTTTGCCACTGTAGAGGATAGTGCGGTAAGGCGAGTTGAAGATAGAGCAACGGAGGTCCATGTTGGGTTGTGAATGTTAGTAAGGGGCCAAGGTATGGAATAATGGGTTTTAAAAGCAATCCTTGTGGCCCGTCCGCAGTGCGAGATGGATGCTTCGTCCCCACCTCCGATGGTCCCGGGTAGAAGGTCGGAGGATAGAAGCAGAGTGACATCACGGCGAAACAGACATTGAGCATCCCGTATTCTTCGTATGTCAGTCGTGTTACTGCAGATAGAAAGAAACGTGACATATCAAACATTGCACCACACTCCTGCGCCTTGATGCGCGCCACACTGTACTCCCCAACGAAACCTCTTACAATCCTCAGGTGGCGATAAAATGGAATGTGTCATTGCACTGGATAATCTAAAGCATCGGCCGCGTTGCCGTCTCCCAAGAAGACTAAAAGTGCACGTTCTGGCTGACTCCAGTGGAACTAAAAACATTCCGATAGTTAGCTTTCCCGTATCAACCACTTAGAGTTGTTTGACGCAAGACACGCACAAAATGGTTCGTTCCTCTAACCCGCGTCATCTCCAAAGACCTCCTCTTCCTTCCCGCCTTCTCGGCCGCCTCAAATTCCGCCTCAAGACGATACTTTGTGTAGACGGCCTCCCCGGCTGCCTGATCGCACCAGACATACCGAAGCTTCACATCGTCCCATTCACTCGAGGATGTTTCAGAAGGAAAATAAGCCCGCAGTCGCAACTCCTCAAATAGCCCGAGCTGTACCCCAGCGTTCCTAAGAAGCTCGTCTGAACCATCCGGACGTCCAGGTGCTGCGTCTAGCGAGGATGCTATCTCCTCTGATGTCATAGTCTCGATAGTCGGCTTCGGCTCTGAGAGAGGAGTACGCAGTTCCAGAGTGGAAAGTGATTCGCCGTGGTGGTAATGGCCAGTCACCCATCCCTGAAAGCGTTTCGCCCGCTCCTCGGTAGGAATGGTTTCATCCACAAGGGGATTATAACCGCCCGGAAGATAGGAATATCCAAGTACGTGACTCGGCGGGGCTAAAGAGCATGAAGGACATACATGAGATGAAAACGAAGTTCGATGAAGGTTCAATCGACTCACCATAGTTCAGTACACAGCGTAGGTACAACGCCACATTGACGTCGCCGGATCGAGAAAAGGAGGGAGCGTTCGCGAGGAGCGATGTAGTGAATACCACTCCGAAGGACCAAGCGGCAAGAATGATACCGCCCTTGAGCGGAATTCTCTCCGCAACGATGAATTCCTGGAGAAAATCATATAGATCCCTTCCTCGACACCTGACATATTCCCGCAGCGAATGTGCACTTTCAAATGACGCTGAAGCCCCTGCATGCAGTGGTTTCAGTTCTTCTTCGGTGTAAGGGCTGGTATGAGGGTAATCTCGTCGATTCATCAGTACGAGGCGTGCACCATGCTTGGCGGCAAACTGAGGCATCCGACCAAAGATCCCTATTAGATTATTTATCTGAGTGAATATACAGCTAGCCAGAAAGAGGGCTCGTCTCACCGGAGTGCCAAACTAAGCCATGTAGCATGATCAGCGTGGTGTAATCATCCCTTCCAGCAGGTGCGCCTGTGTCATGAATGGCGAACAGCCCGTACTTCACCATTTTGAGATCTGGCATAGTATCCTCTCTCGCGCGGTGTGAGGGGAAGTGCCTTGGTCAAGAATGACCTTGCTTTAAGAGACGAACAGATCAGCGTTTTGCGCAGAAAGAAGTGCATAGCACCCACTCCAAGTGCACCCGTGTGAAGCCATATTCTAAGAACAGAGACGCTCATTTCGTTCACAAGGCGGACACAGAATCGCGGCCGTCTTGTCAGAAGACTCAGAACGGCAGATCGCGTGGAGATGCGTCCAAAGCTCGTGACCCCAAAGGAGACGTGTACGTCCCCGTGAAAGACTTGTCATTCTAGCCTTCTCGAGGAGATTTGGAGCAACAGCAAGTACCAGTACAGGGCCTTCGCTATGATCGACGTGCTTTCGCCAACAAGCTAGGACGATGAATATTTGATTCAGATAGTCCCAACACTGTAACATCTGGGGCTGGATCATGTTTTAGGACTCACAGATTTATCGACCCAGGAGGTTCAGAGGGGAGGAACGGTTGACACAAGTATTCTGACAAGCAAGAAAGGAAGTTGCCAAGAACTTATCCACGCGAGTCGCGACAATGAATAGCCGCCCAAGCGTGTCGAAACGTTTACCGTGTCTCTCCTTGCAGAGAGCCAGAGACTACGTTCATCGTCCATTCAACGCAGCCTCACCCACCCTGTCTGTAACAGTCCTATTACTAGCACGTAGCGATTCTACACGAGTGCATCATAGGTCAGCCGTTGCAATCTGAATCCAGGACTATTTCAATGTGGCCTTTTTGACACGTTTCCAGCTCAACTCCAATGTCGACGCGTATAACACGTCGATCGAATGCTCTAGCACTTCAAAATAGTGCCAAGACTGAGGTCGAAGTTGCAGATGTCCAGATGAACCACGCTGACGAGGACCTGGACGACCTGACGGAGGACACTCTGTCAGACAACTGGTATGAAGGAGTGGATGAGGAGAACAGTGATTCTGGCTCAGAGTATGGGGCGAGGTGTAAGTCTACGTTGTTCTCGTTGTCTACTATCTATCGTTGAATGTTCCGGACCCTCAGCGAAAGGTAGCGCATCTAAGGATAACCGTCCAACAAAGCGCGCGAAGAAATCATCTAATGTTTCTGTGCGCAAAACATCTAAGTCAACAAAAGCCAGTACCCCGAAGTCCGCTCCGGTACGCAGGGGTAAAAAGAGCCTTAGTCTGCTACCTACTATGCCCTTAGATGTGTTGTTCGAGGCCAGTTAGTTCTCTATGAACATACCACGCTCACGCTGACGGGAATCTTCGCTCATAGATATTCTCACTTCTCACCTCGAAGGATCTCTTGGCAATAGCTCGCACTTCCAAGAACTTTCGCTTGACTCTCATGTCTCGTAACGCTACCACGGTTTGGAAGGCTGCGCGCGAGAGTGCCCAGGCACCGCTTTGCCCCAGCTGGGTGAGCGAACCGGCATGGGCTGCGTTACTTTTTGGAAATACTTGTCAGGTCTGTGTCAATTTCATGAGTCCATTCAATGTCACAACTCATCTGGTTTCTATCTCAGAGCTGTAATGCAAAGAATGTTCACAAGATTGATTTCCAGTTACTTCGGAGAGCTTGTGTGCAGTGTAAGAAATCCCAGTGAGTGTCGTAGATTACTTCTCCACGTATTTGATACTAAGAAATCTTAGCCTTGTTGTTCGCTCGAGGATGTCCTCACGCTTCCCCAATATTGACACTGAGATCATGGAACTCGTCCCTTCCACTAGTGGTACGTCTTTCTACAACCCTTTTGCGCTTTGATCTCACGAATATGAATTCTCCAGTCGGAGGCTGGGCACACGGTCACAGTAGTTCCAGTCAATTCTTCTGGGATGACGACGTCGAGAATATGGTACTCAAGGTTGCGGAAAAGCAGCGTGACGTTGATATGGGGCTCCCTGACGCAAGAAAATGGCTCGGCGACTTTAAAAGGGAGCAGAAAGCTCGTGTTCACTTTTTGGAAGAGGTACATTGCAACATTCTCAGCACGTCTTTAGCATTGATCCTTTATGTGCTCTTACAGAATGCTTACCTGTGGGCGAGTTGGTTCGATAACCAGTCTAAGGAGAAACGGCGAGAAGCTAATGCGAAACAAACAAGTCACATTGAGCAGTACGTAGCTCATTCATGGCTTCGCAAACACAGCTGATCAGTGGTGCAGGATCAAGCAACGACTCCAAGAGCTTGGTTATATCGAGGCAGATTTTGAATTTTTAAGATGGCACGACGAAGCAAAATCCAAAGCAGTGGTCACTGATAAAGGTCTGTACATCTGTGTTTGGGCGAATGCTGGGGGTAAGGGAATTGTTCTCAATGGTTTGATTATCTCAGTATGGGAGCGCATCCGCCCGAAAATTGAGCCAGAGGCTTCAAACCGCCGAGAAGCTCGCCTTGCTCATGAAGCGTCCGTTGTTCGAGTCGCCAGGTGCACCGTTATCGACCAAGGTTACAAGGAATACAAAAAGACGGTGGATCCCATGCAGTGGAAGTTCCTTCCTCCAACGACAGTTATCACCCTCCTCGACCCTTTCAGGACCATAGTAGAGAAGAGTGCTGGTGAGACCGTCTCAGACGAGGAGTACCAT